TACATGTTTGCATGACAAGAAAAGGAAAGAATTCAGTTCATGTGAGAGTTTAGGATAAAAAGAAACTGCAGGTGGGTATTTGCTCAGACTGCTTTAATAGCTTCAAGGTTACAAAATAAATGAGGGAAGGGAATCTCTCAGTTTCAGATGAGAGAACGAAGCCATGGCCTGAAGCTATGGAATGAAGCTCAGACTAGCTGTGTGGAAACAGGGAGTTAAAAAGAACATTGAGCCTTAAAGCATATACATGGAAAAGTGACTAGAAGCAATACCCGCAGAGATGTTACATAACCAGTGAGGAAAGACTATGTAAAACAGGCATGGCATGAGACGGTCATCTTGCATAACAAGGGGCTTCTGTGCAGCTTTTGCTGAGATCAGTTTTCGACTCCTTTTGTGTCTTTTGTTTTTCAAGGACTTTTGACATCCTACTTTGCTTAGCTGTTTATGATTGATTTCATTTAATTTAAAAAAATCTAAGAACTAGGTACTTCTTCCACCATTTCACAGATGATAAAATGAAAGGAGAGATGCTAAGTATTCTGCCCAGTTCACTCAGATAACAAAGGCAGAGCCAGGATCTGAACACAGATTCTGTCACGTGACAGCAATGCCTCTTCTCATCACTAGACCCTACAGCCTCTGATCTGGAGAAACCAACATCGTTGTAAACAAAAATTTATATTCTTCGACACCACAAGGCCTCGGTTTGTCTTTATTCTTGGAATTGCCTAAATCCAGTCTTAAATGAAAGCACGAAACAGCCTAGTATCGCCTCCTCATTATTCATTAACCGTTCGAATTGTGCCCACAGTCAAGTAACAAGGGCCTGAAATGCTGAGTGTTCTACCTGCTTCTTCCAGCTTCCTTAGGCTACTTTTACTCTTCTCTCCGCTTTACAATTCAACTACCAAGATGGCTCCAGTAGACCTAAGCGAGGGCCATGCCCAATGCTTTGTTTTGTAGAGTTCTCAGCTACCGCCTGCTGGTGCTTTCGAGAACATGTATTTTGCTGCAAGGCTTCAAGAGTTTGTATCCTTGGGGAATTTCCCCCTGCTGCATCTGTTAACATTTCCTAAAACATATTTTTCTCCTTACAGTCTCCAACCGAACGGAGGGAATTCCCACTGCTGTTTTTGTTCTTTGTTAATGCTACAGCTGAAAAGAACTTTCTTTCGAAATGGACATTGCAAATTTCCTCAGAGGCAGAGTCTTGGTCGATAAGAGGTGGACAGCTTTATACTATAGCCAGTTTCATCTTCTTCCTAGAAGGCTCTGCTCACCTAATTTTCCAACAAAGCACGTTGCTCGAACCCTACTCTGAGGGAGTCCCAAGATCACAGAAAAATATTCTCCACTCAATGGGGTAATAATCCAGTCTTTGGCTAGCATATCAATTTATATTAGATTATATTTCCAAAGGAAAAGGTTTTATCGATATATAAACCATTCCAGTGACATGAGAACCTTGTACAACTGAGGCCAAAATAAATAATTTAAAACTGCCTTAAGTAAAGGAGAAAATTATACTACATAAATCTCTATTCACTATCCTGTTAGACGAGGAAATGTAACATTCAAATGCATTATTAGTCTGTAGTATGCCGTCAGTCCCGCTGATCTCTGACTTAACATTTCCATAGTCAATTCTTACTCTGCGACAAAGCTTTATTTTAAAACATGAGCATGCAGTTAAGGTGAGAACTTGTCCTAAGGTATTTTATTAAGCTGATCATAAGCAGAGGCTAGAAAGTTTTCAGTCTGCACTTAATTGAAACCTTGGAAAATAGCCTCCTCACCATTTGAGAAAACTGAGCCTAAGATCATGAATTATAAACCAGCATATTTCATTTTTTGTACAATGTGAATAAGTGTATCACATTAGATTTGATATCATCAAAAAGCTGCTTAAGTAAAATATACTCTTGAAGTAAAAAACTCACTTTATCAGGGCAATTAATTGGGGGGGGGCATCAGCTACTCTGTGGCAAAATTCCAGTTCTAGAGCATTACATGATAAGCAATTGTTCTGGAAGAGAAAATTTATTCACTGTGTTTAGTTCTCAGAATTATTTAACTCACATCAAAATCATTATTAGATAGGTCAAGAATGAATATATCTATATATCTCTATCTATCTATCTCTCTATATATTATCTTCTCAAGTCATAGGGATACTGAAAATACACATTGGCAAACTGTTTCAGTTTAACCAATATAGAAATGAAAGTAGACATAATCTATTACTTTAACACATACTTAGTATAGGCAAAATTCATTTTTTCTATATGAGAGGTAAAAAAGTAGTAGCTGAAACCACTTTCTGACAAGGAACTTATTCTATATTTATCAGCATGGTTGTTTTTCAAAGGAAAGAGGCTAGAAAATTATTTCTATTGGATATGGAAAACTTGAATGTCCTCAAATAAGATGTCACTTTTTTTTTTTTTTAGATATTTTTCATTTTAAACATCAGTGGTAAGAACAGATATATCTTTTTTATTTCTGGAATTTTCTACTTAATATTTTTGGACTGTGGTTGACCTCAGGTAACTGAAACCACAGAAAGTGAAACCACAGATTAATGGGGGAACAAGTGTATAGATTTTGCTTTTACTATAGTATAATGTTTTTTAAAAATATAGTACAAGAATAGAAATTATATAACAAAATAGCATTAAAAGTTTAGTTTGGGTTTTGTTTTTTAATATGTAAGACTTTGGGTTATTTTTCTCTAACTAAGAATATATTTCTAATTATGCCTACAAATGTTTTCTCCCTTTTGGCTTAGAAAAATTTTCTTTCCTGAGACGCCAGCAAATGCTTAGGAAACACCAACTGCACACAGAGCGCTCTGATGGGCGCTGAGGGGCATTTAAAAGAAGAATGAAAGAGGTTTCCATATCCGGGATGCTATTATTTATTTGGAGAGAGAAATTAAATCCTCTGCTATGACCACACTAAGACTTACAGACCATGTGGAACTAAGTAAACTGAGAATCCAGCCATGTCACTACTATTAAGAGAAATAAAATATTCACACTAATGAACGAACTGCATTTCAAATAAATTTCATATCTGAAAATCTAAGGATAAATATAATCTCTGGCCACCTCCAACCGCCAGAAAAGCTATATATTTTATCTTTTGCAAATGCAAGAGTCACTGGATTCTCTCTCTCAGGAAGACACAGAGAATAAGCAGGATCAACATGCACCTCTGTGTTGTGGTTTTCCACAAATATATCTGGCCGCTTAGCAGCTGAACCTATAAAACACTATCAGGATGGCTTAATATTTAATGTCTCTGAAGTCCTTATGGATTTCTAGGAGGCTTGAATATACTGAACTCAACTTTGATTTTTAAATGTAACAACAGTCGAGGCCTGAAGTCCATATATTCACACTGCCTAATAATAGAAAACACAGCTGCCCACAAAGAATGTTCACATAGAGTTTGGGGGACATGAACAAAATGTTATCTGCTTGATAAATAGAAGTGGGGCTCTTTAGAATAGATTCATAAAAGAAAGCACCGCCCGGTTTCAAATCTCAGCTGCAGCTCTTCCAGTGACACGGAGCTCAGCCAAGCCCTCTGCCTACAGGCAAGCTCAGACACAGCTGTCCTCTTGCTGGAAGTAAAGTTTTAAAAATATGTAAGTGCTCCCTGTTCTCCAAATACAACTATCCCTGCCTAGTATGAGTGATTCTCCTAGTACAAAGAATCATTTATTGAAGACTTCCTTTTAATCAAATCTATTTTAAAAAATTAGCTAGCAGAATAACAAAGGAACGTCACCAAGAAGTCCCGCTCACTCCCTAAGATGCTGAATTTAGATGTGGCCTCAGCTTTCTAAACTGAGCTGTTCTCAGAAATGAAAATCAGAATTCCAGCAGCTGATGGGCCTTTCATTTGAGCCTATATGGACAAAAAGTGAACCAAATGCTAAAGCAAATTAGAAAACTAATTGAAAGCTTTTATATTTTTGTTCTTATACTCAAAGTATCTTCACAGAAGAGGACTTTAGAATGTTTATTCTGTGGTTCATTTCTTTTGTTAATTGTTATGTTTCAACTAAATTTTGCTCGTTTCAATGAAGTAATATTCTCTAATCACAGTAATTATTAAACCCTATGTAGCTGGTTGTTGGTTGTTTAACTATTTCCTAAAATAAATATAACGCTCTGAGATGAGGGAATTTTCCGGGTAATTTACGTACTTGTTTTAAAATGAAACTGCTCTTGATGGTAAACAATTTGAATTCTATCACTTCGATTAAATGCCTAAGTATATCTGAAGGGGAGCACAGAGAAAGAAAAGGTACATTTTGAGACTGGAACAAGGTTTCACAGGAGGGGTAGCATGTGAATTCAGTTTAAGATCATTAATAGGCTATTAATTAGCTGCCTCTTAGAAGAGAGGACCATTCTAGGATCAAGAGACGATAGAGTGCTCAAATGTTGTAACAGCTATTTTCTGTACTGCTAGGTCATCTTTACCTAGTTTGGCTTATCAAGTGTTCTAGACATGTGAGTTCCTTTCCACCGTGGGTGAAATCCAGATGAAGTCTTTTGGAAGTCTTACTGATGAGTTCTATGAAAAGGTGCTGCGTGGACAGATACTGTGATTTTGGCTCTTACTCTTTGTCTACAGTGTGTGCCAATTGTTTTGAGAGCTGTGACCACAGTATCATTCTTCCTTATTCAGCTTTTTACATATTACTTTATTGTAATAAGTACTTGGAATCTGGGAGAGAGAGAGAGCGAGAGAGCACGAGCACATGAGCACATGTGAGCAGTCTGAGACTATGACATTAACAGGAGAACCCAGGACCACTAGCACAGGTTTCCAAGTTCCACTCCTTAGTAGCATTGTGACATTGGATAGATATTTAAGTAATTTAAGCCACAGTTTTCTCATATGAACTATAGGAATGATGACATCTCCCTCATAGCATTGTTGTAAGGATTAGATATCTGGGAAAAGTTTATTAGCAGAATACCAGTCGAATAGTAAGAATTCAGATATAGCAGTTATTTTGATTCAGGATGACCTGTGCTAAACTATGTTCTTCTGAAAGGCAGGAGACACAGCAATGAGGATGGGCTTTTGTAACAGGGCACAGGAGGATCTAGTGGACCCTTATTGTTTATATCTTCATATTTTACATCTGATTATACTATTTTAAAAACAGATATGATGGAACATTAGTAAAGAATAGCCTTTGGTGTCACGTGCAGAAGTAAAACTTGAGAGTTTAAAGAAATTAGAACTTATCCAACTGTGCCCATACACATTTGCTAACATTTGGTGTTTGCTCACAAAGGCAGCGGATGTTCATTGTGTCCTTTCTGTGTGTGCAGGCCTGAGCAGAGTGCTGGGGAGATACTGATGCACTGAGCTGCCATGACACCCGCCTTCTCGGAGATCATGGTCTAGGTAGAGATGAAAGTTGTTTTGAAAATGACTGGCAGGTTTTATGATGGCAAACTCCAGGGTGCTTTGGAAGTTCTGCAGGCAGACTTGTGACATCATCATTTCCCTTGCTTCGAGGAGCATGATTTCTCTGTGTGCTGTTCCAATTCCCTGGAGGGTGGAAGCCCAGGGCTTGGATTTACATCGCGGGTGCTATTTTTTTTTTCCAATGTTTATGACTTTGAGGCAGGTGTAATCTTCACTGGTGTTAGGATTGCTACTTTGTGCTCTTTTAATGTATTCATGATGTGCGGGGGATATTTTCGGGATGTGATCAATTCCAGTGAGAGGGAAGGATTCTGTGACTGGATGTTTAGACAAGTTGCTCTTTTTCTGCAGCTGGTTTTAGTCTGCCAAAAAATGGCACATCTTATAATATTCACAGACTACATTACCTCTAAATCCACAAATATTTCGAGAACACTAAAAATCAAATCCAAATTTCTTCATATTAATAGAAAATGGCAAAGCAACAGGCAATACACATTCCACTGATACATTCAGCTGTCTTTCACACTTAGCAATTTCCTGAAAACTAGTTCACTGGGGCCCTAAACATATAATATACTAATGAATTACAACTATTTCAGTTAGCTATCCATTCATTGTTGAGACGGACTGTAAATTACTTTTTAATTTACCCTTCTTTTCTGATTTGTGGAGAAAATAATACTTGTCCGTGTTTCTTATTCAGCTTTTTACCAGAACATTTTTTATTGTGGCAAGAACACTTAAAATGACAGCTATGCTCTTAGCAAAGTTGTAAGTGTCCAATACTGTATTATTGCCTACTGGCACATTTTTATAGTTGTCTTCTCTGTAGTCTCAGAATTTTCCTGTTAGCTCCTTTTTTTTTTTTTATGAGAGATTAGAAAATGTTTAGCCATAAAGCAAGAGAAAGGCAAAGGCAAAATTAAAATGAAAGTTTCTGGTCTGTGCCTCTTAGTATGACCGGAAGAATACGATGGCTTGCTGGGAGGAGCTCTGGACCAGGAAATACGTTAAGCAGTCCCTTAACCTGGAGTGGGTCCCATGGATTCTTGAGTTCTGGTTTCCCTTTGGCAAAATGAGTGAGTCAAATTATATAACTGCTAAGATATAAAAATGAAAAATTCATACCACTTCACACTCATTAGGATGACTATTATAACAAAACAAACATAACAAGCGTTGACATAGGATGTGGAGAAACTGGAACTCCTGTGCATTGCTGGTGGGAATGTAAAACTGTGTAGCTACTGTGAAGAACAATATTATGTTTCATCAGAAAATTAAAAATTGGATTATCATATAATCTAGCCATTCCACTTCTGCGCATATGCTTAAAGGGATTTAAAGCAGAGAAACAAAGACATATTTGTACAAGCATATTGACAGAGGATGTGGAGAAACTGGAACTCTTGTGCATTGCTGGTGGGAATGTAAAACTGTGTAGCTACTGTGAAGAACAATATTATGTTTCATCAGAAAATTAAAAATTGGATTATCATATAATCTAGCCATTCCACTTCTGCGCATATGCTTAAAGGGATTTAAAGCAGAGAAACAAAGACATATTTGTACAAGCATTTTTATAGCAGTATTATTCATAATAGCCAAAAAGGTAGAAGCAATCCAAGTGTCCATCAGAGAATGAATGGATAAAAAATGTAGTATATATTTACAATAGAATATTATTCAGCCTTAAAAAGGAATAGTATTCTGACAAATGCTATAACATGGCTGAACCTTAAAGACATAATGCTAAGTGAAATAAGCCAGTCACAAAAGGTTAAATAATATATGACTCTACCTCCATGAGATACCTAGAGTAGTCAGATTCAGAGATGGAATATAGAATGGAGGTTTCCAGGGCGTGGGGGGAGGAGGGAATGGGGAGTTACTGTTTAATTGGTACAGTTTGTTTTGCAAGATAAAAACATTTGGAGGTGATGGAGGTGACAGTTGCACACAATATGATGTGTTTAATGCCACTAAGCCATACACTTAAACGATTTAAATGGGAAATTTTAGGTCATGTGCATTTTATCACAATTTAAAAAATGAATGATTCCTTTATAAATATACTTCATGAAAAAACAAATCCATGTGCTAGAACCTGGGAATGAAGTGATAGAAGTCTCCTGTGTAGCAGAGTATGCTGCCTAGCAGAGAAGAGGGCTAAGTAAATATTTTTTGTTTTTACTACTTAAGCCTTTTGTTCAAACAATTTTTCATTTGAATGTCTTGGTTTCATCAGGTAGACAACTATATTATCTCAAATGATAATTGTGTCTCTCAGTAATTGTTTCTTATTTCTATTTGGTATTATATTTCATTGTCTCAAAGACTGCTTCTCAACCAGACGTGACTTTTCCCCCAGGGGATATTTAGCAATGTCTGGGGACGTTTTTGGTTGTCACAACTGGGGGTGGTGATACTAGTATCTAGCAGGTAGAAGCCAGGGGTGCTGCTAAACCTCCTACAATGCAGAAGATAGCCTCCCACACGAAGGATTATTTATCCCAAAATAGCATTAGTGTCAAGGTTGAGAAAGCCTGATCTAAAACCTCAGAAAATGTTAAGTAATAGTGGTAAAAGATGGACAATATTGACTTGTTTCTAGATAGATAATCACTTTTGCAGCGATGAACTCAAACTAATCAAAATCTAGATGGCAAAATTATACAGTATATATAACTGCACTAGCCATCTTGAAGACTTTTATCTCATAATAGAAGAGTTACAAAATATATAAATATATAACTATATATTTAAAATACACATAAAATATAATTTGATAAGAGATCATTTATAGCTAACCTAGAACGACCTTGTTTCGAACTTTACAAATCATCCCAGCACAACCACAGAATCATTCATATAAAATCTTCAAAGAGCATCTACTATCTCCTGTAATAATGAGATAGATGCAGCCCTACAATTTTTTTCCCCCATTATTTTTATTCTCGGGAGAAAGCAGAATATTTTTACCTAGTATTATGTCAGTCAGTCAGTGCTCTTTTTCCCTCAGGCTCCCACACATTACTATACACTAGTAATGTGTGTATAGGCTTGACTGCTATCATCAATTGAAAATAAATGAGATATATCTTAAAGAGCATTTCCATAATGGGGTTAAACTTTTACCTTCTAAAACAAGATAAACCAAAAATATTGAAATATATTTCTGCTTGCTTTATCTTTTCATGTGATCAGATTTGCCAAAGAAAAATGCTCATAATAGGCAAAGAAAAGCTGAAAGTTTCACCTACTGTTGGTTGCTAGGTAACTTCCTTGTTACCTGTGTGTTGCACATTATCTGTCTCCCTTTGGATTATATGTTTTGACAAGACCACCACCTTGTAAATGGAAAAAAATCTTGTCCTCTCTGCAATTAAGAGGCAGAATAAGAATGGATATGTAAACATTTAGAACGCCAACTCATTCAACATTATTCAAGCCAGTGCTTTGGGAAAAATATACAATTCCATCTAAGATTTATATGAGGAGTTGACCAGTATGCTCTTTATTGTATGGAAATCAATGCAGTCCCATCCCTGACCTTTTATGTACAATGACCCAAAGGGCTAGAAACCTGAAAACTAGACATATCTATAGTCGATTGTTAGCAGGATTTCTATTTACATTCCATCAATGAGAGGTAAAGATAGACTTATGGGCAGATGGCAGTGTGAGGTTTTCTGAGGCTTTTTGCAC